GTTGCACAACCCAAAGAATGTAATCAATGTCACCGAACTGTACATGTAGAAACAGTTGAATTGCTGTGTTTTGCTGGAAAAAAAAAGAAGAAGAAGAAGAAGAAAGTCCTGGAGATCTGCTTCTGAAAGGTCACAGCCATTGAAAACCCTATGGAGTGCAGTTCTGCTCTGAAACACGTGGGGTCACCATGAGTTGGAATCAAGTCTATGACAACTGATGATGGTGGTGGTAGAGTAGGACTAGTTGTGGGGGGTGGGGTGGGCCTGGATCCAAGAGCAGGAAGAAAGATTTCACTGGCAGGAGGCTCAATAAAGGCCAAGGGGAGTCCTCCTTTGACTGGTTTGGAATGAGAAGCCTCTGAGGGCCCTTCCAGCCCTGATAGTCTCTCAGCTTCAGAATCTCCAGGGATTTTTTGCAGGTCGGAAGGGGCGATAATTGCGGGGCGGCGCGGGGTGGGGAGGTGATAAGACTCAGGGCTGGAAATCTCCAAATAGCCTTGACCTTTTCTCTGTTTGGTGTTAAGATGCATGCAGGTGCCTCAGCTTGGCACATGGCCTTCTCTGTGTGGATGGAGAGACAGAGCTTCTAGAATATTCCAAATGCTCACACTGTCATTGATTTTGCTTTTGAATCTCTGACACCTTTTCTCCAAGGTAGCACTGCTCAGAGGTAAGTCCATCCCAGGGCAGGTTAGTGTAGTTCTGGACCTTCTCTTTCCAGTGCTCTTCCCCATCCTCCTCTTCTTTTTTTCTTTTTTAACTTAAAAAAAACTTCTTTTATTTTTTTGTTGAAAATATACACAGAACGTACATCAGTTCAACAATTTCTATATGTACAATTTAGTGACATTGATTACATCCTTCAAGTTGTGCAACCATTCTCACCTTCCTTTTCTGAGTTGTTCCTCCCCAATTAACATAAACTCACTGCCCCCCCAAAGCTTCCTATCTAACCTTTTGAGTTGCTGTTGTCAGTTTTATCCCATATAGATAGTTCTTTAAAAGAAGCACAAGGCTCAAGACAGACATTCTTTACTGATTAAGCCAAACTATTGTTTGGTTTAAAGAAGACTTCAGGGGATATTTTTGGTTTAAGATTTAAAGATTATCTCAGGGAAATAGTTTCAGTTATTCATCCAAGCTCAGTGGCTCCAGAAAGTCTGGATTCCAAAAGAATTTGAAATTCTGTTCTACATTTTCCCCCTTTTGATTAGCATTCTGCTATAGAATTTTTTATCAAAATGTTCAGTAATGGTAGCCGCTTTCCCCTCCTCTTAATCTCCAGATAATGACAGCAACAACTTAAACGTGGACATCATTTCACAGTTCCTAAAGTGATTGCTATCTGTTACTTCTCTGAATTCTTACAAGTTGAAGAAGGACTGCTTGTTATCTCCTGTTTACCTATGAGGAAACCAAGCCTCAGAAATTTGCCAGTGCCAAGAAAGTTGGGCCTCCATTCACTCAGGCATGTTATTAACAAACGTCAGTGAGTGTCTACTGTGTGGCCTGTATTAGGGGCTGGACATATGAGAACAGTAAGACCCAGTTCCTGCCCTAAATGCTCCCTGATCAGGGGCGCGGGGATGAGTAGTCAGCATGCAGGGGACAGACACATGAAGAGGTGAGAACAACACAAGTCCCCAAGGCTGGGCTTAACATGAATGAGGAACCCATTGGGAGTGGATCAGAGGAGGAAGTAACCACTCAGACCCCAGACAATCTTTCTTCCTAGCAGGCAGCTCTTACTTTCTTTTCAGGCCGGACCCCAGTCTCCTCTTGCTGCCTTGGCTCTGGTCCCTGGAAATGTCCCTGCAGACCCCATGCATGTGGCCTACGGCACACCCCCAGCTGGGGCTGGGCTGAGGCAGTTCCTCCTTGGCAGGAAAGTATAGCTCCTTCTCCTGCTAGGTTTCCCCAGGGCCTTGCAAAATGTTCTTCTTCCACTCCACTCCCCAGAACCCTTTTGTTAAATACAATCGTTCATGGAATTCCGATTATAAACAGATTGAAAGAGAGCTGGTTCTCTGTTTTAAGTGGGGGATGAGGAGTCCAGAGTCCGCTGCTCAGTCTTCCCCTCTTTATCCCCTTGAAATTGCCCTTGTGGCAAGTGCCTGGAGTCCAGAGGTAGCAGAATAAACTTTAGAAACCCGTAGCTAGATTGACTAGCCCTCACAGGGCCTGCTTGTCCCACAGGCCCCTCTCACAAATGGTGGCCCAAACTAAGCTCATAAGTTGCTCTGTCCACCCTGCATGAAGTGCTCCTCCTCCTGCATTCCTCATCCCCACTCTCCACCCAGGGCCAAAATCAGAATCTTGGCTGTCACCTGTGGCTCCTCTCCTCCCTCACCTTCCATCTGTGTTTAATGTTCACAGAGATTTGCTCCTTGGTAGGGGATAGTCTCTGAATGTTTCCCTAACAGGGGCCTGGATCCTAATGGGGGATGGGTTACCCTACCCCAAACAATAAATCAGTCTAATGGGGAAAGAGGTCTGGGCCAGCAGGCCTTTCTATGCCCGTGAAAGCCCTCGTGAGCCCATCCACTTACTCTACATGGACGTGGAGCTGGTCCTGTAAGAGAAGGTGAGCATGTATGTCGATCATGGAGGCAGCTGGGCCTCTGGGCTCTGACAGCCACCCTATGCCTGCAAGTTGTCCTCAGGTGGCATTTGGCACAAGTCACTATCCCTGCTCAGGAGCCAACCTTGCCTCCTCAGTGCCCACAGGATTAAATCCAGACTCTTCATCCCAGTGTTCAGACTCTTTCGGAGACTGGTCCTGCTACCCTTTCTAGGCTCACTTCCCACCAGTCCCTTCACAGAACCACCATTCCAGCCAATACCCTTCATATATTTTTTGTAAAAATGGGTAGGACAAGACTGGATGTAGGGAAGGTACCCAGGCAAGGGGGGGTGGGGTGCATGGTACGTGTTCACCAACAAGACTCCCCTGTGAAGGCATTTGGGCCTCAGAGCACTAATCACCTTATGGGAGTCCTGGGTTGTGCAAATGGTTAACTTGCTTGGCTGTAACCAAAAGACTGGAGAGTTGAATCTACCCAGAGGTGCCTCAGAAGAAAGGTCTGGCAATCTACTTCTGAAAAATCAGCCATTGAAAACCCTATGGAACACAGTTCTACTGTACACACATGGGGTTGCTATGAGTCAGAGTTTACAGGACGGCAACTGGTGGTATCGCATTATAGCATACTAACTAATTAATTAATTAATTTTTATGTTTGTCTTCCCCCACCAGAATGTAAACTTCACAAAGGCAGGATTTTTTTTGTTTGTTTACTTTCCTCACTGAAATAATCCCACGCCCTAGAACAGTGCCTGGCTTATACTATGCCCTCAGTAATTATATTTTGCATTAATAAACACTTCCAGTCTTTCACATGCCCATGTATTTAGCCTGCAGTACACACCTGGCTGGACTTAGATGCTTTCACACTCACATAGCCCCACAGCACACAGACACATACTTGGAGATGCCACCCATGGACACTAGACACATGTTTACTTTTGTACATGTATACACATACACAAAGGTCACATGCACACTTGTACATGCATGGAGAAATCACATTTGTCAATAAGTTGTACACCTGTAGAAAGTTGAATTGTCAAAGTTTTTGCGATAGATATATTTACAATAATTACAAAAAAAGAAAAAAAGAGGAGCTGCTTATGTACAACCAAACACTTCATGGGATTTGGTTCTTTGGTTTGGAGGTTTAGGGTCATGGTTTTATGGGACATCCCAGTTATGTGGCCTAATATTTGTTTAGTGCTCCTGTTCTACCTTAGTTCCTTGTGTAGTGCCTGGGGTCTTAAAAGCTTGCAAGCAGCCATCCAAGGCACAACAGTTGGTTTCTATTCACCTGGAGCAACAGAGGAAGGAGAGTCAGGAATAGGAGGAGGAAATGGAATGAGTGGCTAATTGCCTCCACGAGCAAACGCCTCCTTTGCCATGAGACCAGAAAAACAAGATGGTGCCCAGCCACCACTACTGAACATTTTGATTAAAGATTCTATAGAGGAATCTGATCAAAAGGGGGAATTGCAGAATGGAATTTCAAATTCTCATGGACTCCACACTTTCTGGAGCCATGGAGGCTGAATGAACCCCTGAAACTGTTGCCCTAAGATAATCCTTAAACCTTAAGCCAAAAATATCCCCTGAAGTCATCTTTCACTGAACTTTGACAAATGTGTTTTTGACCTGTGTGACTCAAAGTCCTATCAAGGTAGAGCATGTTACCATTACCCCAAGAAGTTCCATCATGTCCCATCCTAGTCAATCTCCAGAGGTAACCACTGCTCTCATTTTTTCACTGTAGATTAGTTTTGCCTGTTCTAGAATTTCATGTACATAGAATAATACGATATGTACTTACATTTGTTTATTCATTCAATAAAACATTTTTCAGCACCTACTGTACGCTCACAGACATACATGTGATGCCTGTTCATGAGGAGTAGTGAATTCTCCCATCCTGACCGAAAGACCAAAGGTATTTCCAGGCATGGTCTGTCACCTCTTCTCTCCTCCTATCCAATCACATTGTCACTAAGACACCATGGACAGCTGGACCTCAGAAATAGAAATGCAGGATCTCTGTTGTATCTGAGCACTGGGGTCCTCCCTGCACACCTCTCCCTGCTCATCCAGGCTGGCTCTGGAGGCCTCTTATCAGCCCCACTGCCACTCACTTCCCAAGGCAGGGCCTTATTCACACGTGTCTAAGTTGCAAGATGGTGTCACAATCTCAGCCCAGGGCATATCAAAGTGGGTAAAAGTGAAGGTAGGTAGGCAGTTGGAAGGAGCTGCACGGGCAGAGGTGATCCTGTGGAGGGGTGGGGACAGGGAGGTGGAGACTAGGTAGGGACTGGAGAAGAAAGCATGAAAGAGGAAACATCGCGGGCCCCTGAGCAATTAGGGCTGGGCAGTCGAACTAGCACTTATCTGGAGCTACTGGGACCCTGGGCATAATATAATGCTCTTGCCCTCCAAGAAGGACTTCAAAACTGCCCTGCAAATCTTTGCTATCTTCCAGTGGGCCCTCGGTGCCTTCCTTACTGGTGAGCCTTCAGTCTTTGGTAGGGTGACCAACTGTCCTAGTTTTCCTGGGACTTAAGGGTTTTCTGAGTTATGGGACTTTCAGTGCTAAAGTGGGAGTTAACCCAGGCAAACTGGGACAGTTGGCTACCCTAGCCTCTGGCCTGACAAGCCTGGGCATGGTATCCACGGGATCTGTGTGTGCACATGTGGGCATGTATGTGCACAAATGGATGTGTGCCTATGCAGGTGTGTGTGTGTGCATGCCTTGAGTGCAGATGTATATGGTGGGCCCTCCTTGGTCTTCAGTGGGGCATGGAAGGCATGTTCTGGAAGATGAAGAGCAGTTCCACTGAGGCTAACCAAGGAAAAAGGCTTATCTGCAACTGCAGGGACTCAAGCAAACCATCAGTGGGAGACAGTTGGTCCAGTGGCAGAGGGAGACTCTGAAAACCTCTTATCCAGAAGAATTCATCCATTTATTCGTCAATTTTTTGAATACCTACACCACAAACACTTTGTGAAAATTACTTACGTGCTGGCCACTGTGTTCTAGGAGCTGAAGCAAGCCATTGCTGTGGGAAGGGGACCTGGAAAAAAATTCTCATCTGTCAGGTGGTTGAGGTGAGTACTGGCTGGAGGGGAGGGCATGAACTAAATGACCTTGTAAGATATCTGGCAATGAAGAATGCAGGTAGGCCCTGGGAGCCTGGGGTTGGCACAGGGACATACCAGTGAATAGAGAAGGTGGGCATTCCTTCTCTCAACCCACCACCAGACTAGAGGACAGGGAATGGGGAGCTCAGAGACCTGCTTGGGGTGGGCACTAGGACCTCTCAGTGCTGAAAAGATTAGTGTTAACCTATGAATGGTAGGCAATCAGAGCTGGAAGCGACCTTGAAGGAGAAGGTAATTTATATGTATTAAGCACTTACTTTGTTATCAGGGACTTTCACACCTATTATTTCATTTTAGCCTCATGCCAATCTCATGAAGTAGAAATGATTACTATCCATAATAATACATAGGAATAGCTACACACAGAGAATAAGAGCTAACACATAACGATAGCTAATATTTATTGGACACTTTTCTTCCTGCTAGGCACTGTTCTAAGTGGAAAATAATATTCATTGTACAGATGAGGCAGCTGAGGTACATGTAGTATAAGTGATCTGTCCAAGATCACACAGCTAGGAAGTGGAGGAGCTGGGCTTGGGAGCTGAACCCACAAGGGCCTGATTCCAGCATATGAGTTCCTTTCTTTGCCTCTTGCATCTCCTCACTCACTAATGACTCGGAGGTTTGGTATGGATATATCCCTGGATTATGTGCTAGGCCAGGGAGTAAGAAGGAAGCCAGGCTTTCTGCATACATAAAAATTCCTGATTAAAAGGCTAGCTCGGAATGGCTGCCTACTGAGGACAAGGGCCCCAGCTGGATCTCTGGACCCTTCCTCACTGTATGGCACAGGCCCTCCTTCTCTTTAATAAGGGCTGAGTCTCCCATCTGGCTGGAGGGGTGGGCTACCACCCCTCTCATCCCTCCAGCCTCCAGGTCTCAAAAAATCTGAGGTTAGTCTGTCAGAACTGGTCTTTTCAGAGCTGGTCTGCTTAGCCACCTACTTTTTTTTTTTTTTTTACTGTACTTTAGATGAAGGTTTACAGAACAAATAGTTTCTCATTAAACAGTTAGCACACATATTGTTTTATGACATTAGTTAACAACTCCACGACATGTCAACACTCTCCCTTCTCGACCTTGGTTCCCTATTACCAGCTGTCCTGTCCCCTCTTGCCTTCTAGTCCTTGTCCCTGGGCTGTTGTGCCCCATTAGTCTTGTTTTGTTTTATGGGGCTCTCTAATCTTTGGCTGAAGGGTGAACCTTGGGAGTGACTTCATTACTGAGCTAAAAGGGTGTCCAGGGGCCATACTCTTGGGGTTTCTCCAGACTCTATCAAGCCAGTAAGTCTAGTCTTTTTTTGTGAGTTAGAATTTTGTTCTACATTTTTCTCCAGCTCTGTCCAGGACCCTCTGTTGTCATGCCTGTCAGAGCAGTCAGTGGTGGTAGCCGGACACCATCTAGTTGTACTGGACTCAGTCTGTTAGCCACCTACTTTTCAGAGAGGACTGTTTGGCCACCTGCTTTTTCAAAAGGGCTGTTTGGCATTTGATGTGACTATTCTTCAAGAAGAGCAGTTTTCCTCCCTGGTCTGGGGTTTCTTCCATTTGGTTAACAAAGGTGGCTTTCTTCTTCAGCCTTGGCTCCAAGATTCTCAGAAACAAGAGTTGATGGCCTTGTGGTACCTGTAGCCAATTCCTCTCTAAATCCTCCTCCAACCTGGAAGCTTTAGGATATTGGGCTCTATTCTGTTATCTTTCTTGAGTTCTTGTCCTATAGCTACACCCTCATTACCACTGTGTGGCCATGATAGAGCAAAGTCCCCAAGGCCTAGGAGCTAATATGCCATTGAAGGGGAAGAATGACCATTTATTGAAGGCCTCCCTGGGCCAGGCCCAATGTAGGAGGCTGGAGCCACTAGGCTGATACCTCTTCTTCAATCCCTAATCTCACTCCTCTAATCTCACTCCTCAGAGGTAACCACTGTTACGGTAACAAATACTTTTCTGTTGTTGTTGTCATTTGGTGCCATCTAGTTGGTTCCGGCTCATAGCGACCCTATGTACAACAGAACGAAACACTGCCCGGTCCTGCACCACCCTCACAATCATCGTTATGCTAGAGCCCATTGTTGCAGCAATTGTGTCAATCCACCTCCTTGAGGGTCTTCCTCTTTTGCACTGACCCTCTACTTTACCAAGCATGATGTCCTTCTCTAGAGATTGGTCCCTCCTGATAACACGTCCAAAGTATGTGAGATGAAGTGTCGCCATCCTGGCTTCTGAGGGGCATTCTGGCTGTACTTCTTCCAAGACAGATTTTTTTTCGCTCTTCTGGCAGTCCATGGTATATTCAATATTTTTGATAACCCTGCACTCCATAGGGTTTTCAAGGCTGTGACCTTTCAGAAGCAGATCACCGGGCCTGTCTTCCGAGGTGCCTCTGAGTGGGTTCGAACTGCCAACCTTTCGGCTAGTAGTTGAATACTTGACTGCTTTGTGCTACCCAGGGACTCCTCTGACTGTGACTAGGAAAATATTATTTACAATTGAGCTGTTTGTATACTAAGATTACATTTCCTTTCCTGTGCAACTTCTTGTTTTCCCTGGAGTTATTGCCTCATTATTTATTTATTTAGTTACCTATGTACTTATCACTAATTCATCCCCAAATTCTCCACAGACATGTTAATCTCTCAGTATGCACAAACATATCAGGAATTCTATTGTCCCCTCATCCTCCTTTTTTTTCCTTGAGGACGTTGCTGTTAGAGCCCTCGTCCTCCTGTTACAATCTGGCCTTATGCACGATTGTCACCTCCAGAGCCTTTCAGGTGGCCTCGGTGCAAAATTTAAGAAGGTGCTGATTCTTAGGGTCGTGCAAGTATAGGATCAGTACTTGCATGACTTGGGGACTGTCTCTTTAAATTTTGTGCCCTGGGCACCTTGCTTGCCTCATCCTAGCCCTGGTCCATGTCACTTTCTTCCTTTGTTAGTCCCTTTTTCCCCCCCTGGTTCCCATGCTTTCTTTCTTGATTTACTCTCTCATTTTGGTGGGGCTCATCTTCCAACAGTTTCCTTAGAAAGGGACATGGGAGGCAATTATCTGACACTGTATATCTGAGTCTCTGGGTAGTGCAAACTGTTAACTGACTCGGCTGTTAACCGAAAGGTTGGCAGTTGGAGTACATCCAGAGGCGCCTTGGAAGAAAGGCCTGGCAATCATTCTACTTCTGAAAAATCAGCCATTAAAAATGCTATGGAGCACAGTTCTACTCTGATATACATGGGGTCTCCATGAGTTGGAGTTGACTTGACAGCAACTGGTTTGAGTTTGTGTATCTCTGACAATGTCTTTATTCTGTCTTCCTATTTGATTAATAGCTTGGCTGCATATAGAATATCTTAGTTATGTCTGGTGTAAGTATCTGAGTCTAGAGTCCACTTGGTTCAGAGAATAATCTTCCCATTATCCAGTTGTGTAGGGGAGGGGAGGGGACCTGGGCTTTAACTACTTCTTTGACAGGCTTTCAATCAATCTTTCAGTTTGTCAGTCCTGTGTCTCACTCTTGCCTTTTGTGACACTTGGTGCCTCCAAAGTCTGAGTCTTTCCTAGATTCTCCAGTGCAAACAGGCTTGCTTCCTGTTGGCATCTCTCTTGCAGGTGGGATTTGCAGAGCAAACTTTTTGTTTGCAGAACAAACTTTCTTTGTTCTAAGTCAGTTACCCCCTTCTCTATCTACTTCTTAGCATGAAAAATTTTTTGCTCATATCTCTCATCCACCGTTGGCTCCTCTCTAATTTTCTTTCTCCTTGTGGATCTCTGTCTTTTAAAACATTTTTGTGGGGGCCCCAGCAAGGAGTCAAGATAAACAGTTGTGTTCAATCTTCTATGTTCAACTGAAGTGTTTTCTGTCTTTTCTAACCTTTATTTGGACCCACTTTTCTCTCACAGTCTTATTCACAGCTCTTTTAAAAACTGAGTCCAATAATAATTCCAAGTGAGTGTGGCCCCCTATGACTTGTCTCCTTCATTAAATCTTTCCTAACTACTTTGACCTGCAGTGTTCCAGTACCTTATTCTATTCTATCTTATATTTTTCTTTGTTTCTTGTTTGCCAGTCTCGTGTGTTCCCAATCTGGCTGAAGGTGGGTCTTCTCTTTCTCTGGCATTACTTCCACTGTAGCCTTGCAGAGAAGCTATGAAGAAACTGAATTGAAGGAAAAATATTCCTGGTTCCATCTTTCCAGGACTCCCAACTTCTGGTGACCAGATCAGTGTGACCCACCACTGGCTCCCTGCCATTAAACAGACCCCGGATGCAGCCCAGAGCAGTGCTGGAGCAGGTCCTGGGGAGTAGAGGGCTTACTGTGTTAAGTACAGGTAGAGAGGAAAACATCTTGCCTTCAAGACCTGAGTCTGGTTCCCAAGGAGGAGAACGGTTTGTCAGCCACCCTCATGGGATCATGACCCATTCCTACTTTGGAGCATGCGGGCCATGTGCTGGGGTGAGAAAGTGAGAGCTTTGAGTGAGCATGAGTGAGAGAGCATGCAACCTTGGGGTGGACAGGACTCTGGAGGGAGGGTGTGAGGTACTGTTCACAACTCATTGACTCTAGGCTGGGCTTCCTCCAGCAATCACCATGTGATCTTTGGCAACCTCTACCTGGTAGTGTTCACGTCATACTGGCCAATCACTGTGCTCATTCTCACCTGGCTGGCTTTTGACTGGAAGACCCCTGAGCGAGGTAAGGGCCTTTCTGGGGCTGTGTTGCCACATGTGATTACCTCTTAACTCTTCTCACCTTATAATTCTGAGAGACTCTGGCCATGTCCCAGGCAGCTCTTCAGCCGGCATTCCCTGGGCTAGAGAAGCTGAGAAAAGGGGTCCTTTTAAAGTGACAGAAAGGCCCAGATCAGAACTGGACTGAGTTGGGGAAGAGGCAGTTAGTGAAGTAGAGAGTTAGGTCTGTCCTAAATTGGCCCTGACTTGCTATAGCTCCATCCTGGTTGTCACTTAAGAAGCCGGGAAACAGTAGGGGGTGAGAATACCCTGTGGCAGGCCCGAAAGGGCTCAGAAAAGGATAGTGGGGGTGGGAAAAAGCTTGGCTATGTTGGCTCTGTTTTCAGGTGGCTGCCGGCTTACCTGTGTGAGGCATTGGTGCCTGTGGAAACAGTACTATGATTACTTCCCTCTCAAGTTGAGTAGCCCCAGATCCCTACTCAGACTCAGGGCCCAGCCCCAACTCCAGCGCTAGCAGTTGGGTCAGGGCGGGGGGGGGTACAGGGTGCCATTCATATTGAGGCCTTTGTGAATGATGCGCCCCCTGGAGCTGTACATTACCCAGCCTGTGTGGTTGGACACAGCAGCCCTTTCCCTTCCAGGTCTCGGGCCAAAAGAGGAACCCACTTCCTTGGCTAGACTCCACCTGACTCCACCCTCCTCCACAGCTTTGGATGACTCATGATATCTCTCCCAACCATGAGTACATCCTTGTCTGCTACCCTCATGGGATCAAGTCCCATTCCTACTTTGCCCACTTTGCCACAGACATCACAGGCTTCTCCAAGATCTTTCCTGGCCTCACCCTCTATATGCTCACACTGGGAGCCTTTTTCTGGTTGCCTTTCCTCAGAGACTATACAATATCTACAGGTGAGTTAGCTCCTAGGACATAAAGCCAAAGAAAAGGTGGTTCTCCAAGGGAGAAGTGTCGGGGGGATGGATGAAAGGCCAACTGTGTGATTCCCTCTGGTCTTAAAAAGTTACCCCTGGCTCACCTGCCTGATGTGAGGCTCCTTGATCTTCCCCTCCTTTGAAGAGGTAGGGAAGAAAGTTAGGGAGTTTGGGAAGTGGCTAATGACTTTTTCTGCCCTCCAGGGGCCTGCTCTGTGAGCCATTCCTCCATGGACTTTCTGCTTACGCACAGAGGCACAAGCAAAATGTTCATTGTGGTGCCTGGTGGCCTGGTTGAATGCAGATACAGCCAGCCAGGCTCTACCATCCTGGTCTTAAAGAATCAGAGTGGCTTTGTGTGCATGGCCCTTCGGCATGGGTAAGGACAGCTCTGGTCCAGGCTGGGGGGAGAGGTTCCAAAACCCAACAGGGAAGGAGGAAGAGGTTTTGAGAAAATGGTATCTAAAAAGAGAGGAGGAAAGCCATTTCTGGGTTGGGGTAGAGCTGGGGCCAGGGCCTGGAGACATTTCCACTTAGGAAGAAAGGCTAGAGAGCTAGCCCTGAGCCTGTTCTCCCTCTCACTATCCTCTCACAGTCATTCTATAAAAGGGGGCTGGCTGCAATTACACCTCAGAGAGAGCTAAACTTAGCATGTGGGTTAAAGGGAAGAAAGCCAAATGAAATAGCCCTTGGGTCTTATCTCCCAGTGTTGCAGGCCTGTGGGCTCACAGGAGAGAGTGGGGTTTGCTTCCTTCAGCTTGCTGCTGCTTTGTCCCCACAGGCAGCCTGGGGTAGGCCGTGGAATCCTCACACAGCCTGGATCTATGCGCAGCTAGGTTGGGGACTAGGGGCCACTGACGGTCAGCATGTCTGACTTTCAGCAGGGTCCCTACCATTTTGGGCCTCAGAAAACATGCCTTTCCTCTGAAGGGTGGGTCTAATCTCCAGTTATTCCTTTGGGTAGATGGACCTCTATGATCAGCTTATTTTCACTCCTGAGGGCTTTGTCAACTGCTTCCACAGCATGGCACATATCTACCCTTGTGCTTTCTATGGACACGGCTACACCAAGAACTCCAGGGGCCTTCTGCCCTGTGCCCAGCCTGTAACCACCATTGGTGAGTGGGCCCTTCTGTGGGAAGCCTTGGTTTAGGATACATCAACCAGTTTTGAGGCCTAATCTCAGCTCTGTGTGTGCCCAGAGGCAGGGAGGCTGGCTAGGATAGTGGTGGGGTAGCGGTGAGGGTGAGGAGAACCTGGATTTGAGGGTTGGGGCCTATTGTGAGGAATGAAGTATTCTGATGCTTTTCCCTTTTCCTTCTCTGTTTCCCCTGGCAGTTGGGAAGCCTCTACCACTGCCCAAGATTGAGAACCCAAGCCAGAAGACTATGGTTAAATACCATGCACTCTATATTGATGCCATACACAATACACTATTTGACTAGCATAAGACCACGTTTGGCTTGTCAGAGACCCAGGAGCTGGTGATGGTTTGACAGACATCCCTAGAAGCCTCCTAGCCTGGCTAAAAGGAGTTGAATTGGTGAATCTGGAGGACAAAACTGATCTGGCCAGGCCTAAAGATGGGGAGGCCAAGATTTGGCCAGGCCTTAAGATTTGGCTGGGCCTCAATGAGATGGATTGACACAGTGGCTGCAACAATGGGCTCAAGCATAACAAGGATTGTGAGGATGGCGCAGGACCGGGTAGTGTTTTGTTCTGTTGTACACAGGGTCACTACGAGTTGCAACTGACTCTACGGCGCCTAACAACAACAACAACAAGATGGGGAGGGGCTGTCCATTTGGTTGTTTTCTGCACTCCCCTCCCTTCCCCTTCATCTCTCTCCTCCTTCCAGCTCCTCTCTGCCCTGTTCCACTGGACTACAAGGGAGACAGCCCCAAGAGGCAGGGAAGGCCCTAGGGGAGAGGTGCCCTGAAGGCCCTGTCGCACATGCTCGCTCACTCAGCACCTGTAGTGCGGAAAACAGTGGACAGAATAAAAAGCCCATCTTCTGATACTGCTTGTGCCCCAACTAGTCTGTGTTGAGGGCTCCAGTATCCCCGTGCATGTCTTTTCTTCCCTAGCTCCCAAATAGTCCCATCTCCTGACACAGAGATTCTTGCAGGCCTGGGTTCCTTGAGATCCAGTGAGCTTTGAGGTCAGGTTCCACCATCTTCAAGCCGTGTGACTTTGGGCAATCAGTTACCTCTGAACCTCAATTTTCTTCTCTTTAAAATGGGACTAATAATACCTCTTCTGCTTACCTCAAAGGATGTTGGGAAAATCAAATGATATCAGATGTGATTGAACTTTGTAAACTAGAGAGCTATACAAAATTATTCTCTTCCAACCATTTTGCCCATTTCCCGTACCTGAACAAAGAATGCCCTAAATTCCATGGCAACTCAATTTTTAAAAGAAAGTTTACAGTGTACGATCTTGTCAATAGTCCTTGGAAAGTTTAAATAATAGATACCCCCTGCTACCCCTTAGTCCACACTTAGTTTCTGCTTCATAAAACTCGAATAGAATGGGTTAGGCTCAGGCCTAATTTCCCCTCCAGGAGACTGGCTGTCTTTTCGCCAGCAACTTGTCTGTACTTGCCTGGCTCTATAACTCTGCTCTTTGTTAGAGATTCAGCCAGCCTGCTCAGGATGGAAGCGAGGTACCTAGCTTCAGGCAGTCATAAAGAACTGTCTTTCTAAACGGTGAGTCCCTCAGTCTCTTGGCCCAATGGTTGTTGGCAATGACAGGTTACACAATTTGTCCCACAGCTCCCTTGTTCCATCCTTCTTCGGTGGATGTCATCTGGTCCCAGTGATTTACCTACATCAAACTTGTCAGTGTAGACTAGAAGAATATCCTGTGCATTTACTAAAGTGTGATCTGCTAGATCTGCCCTGGGCACCTGCCTCATGTAATGATTTGTACACAGTGGGGCAAAGAAATGCTTCTACTTTTCTGTTGTCTCTGTTACTTCCTCTTGCCAGAGATCACATTTTCTGAGCCCCCATAAGGTGTTTTTAAATGGTTTCCAGGCTTCCCGTGGCTGTTTTCCTTTTTAAAACCACTCTTACCTAAGGCAGCCAGAGGACCAGCTTGAGCTCCAACACACAGCCCATGCACACCTGGTCATTTTAGATTTGTCACAGGCACACTGCTGTATAAGAGCCAAGTTCTCTACCTATACAATGGGGGTAAAGATTGTAGGGTTGTGAAAGGTGCCCGAAACTCTCTAGGGTTAGATGTTCCTCGGCTGAGCCTTTTCCTTATTCCAGTCTCTGCACTGCTTCTCCATGCAAAGGGTGGAGGCCACATGTTAGAGTGGAAAGTCCACTGGACTTGGATGGAACCAGACTAGGCTGACATACTAGTTGTGTGACCTTGGGTGGGCTACTTAAACTCTTTGAGCATTGATTTCCTCATCTGCAAAATGGGATGGCACCACAGTGAGGAGCTGGAGGCTGGATCTACCCATACTGTTTTGGGCCCAGGCCTGAAATATCTGTTACATATACCACCGCCTCAAGCAGAGGGTGGCCCCATGCTGTGTGTCTCTGCCCCAGAACCGTGTTCCTTTGGGAAGGACATCTAGCCTCCTGGACATGCAGTTATAGAAGATTGAAGTTGATGGGGATTAGAGTGTATGGTCTGGGGCACAGACAGGATGTGGGATGCTCTGACAGGAAATTCAGACTACTTTCCTTCTGTTCCCCCCTCAGAAATGGGTGCCTTGGTCCTTCTCCTCGCTCATGTGTGGTGTAACTTACAAAGAAGCACCTAGCATGTAGGAAGCCCTCAAACTGATTTCAAGAACAGGGGGAAAAAGCTTTATTTGCAAAGAATAAACCATTAATTTATACAAACTTACATCCCAGTTTATATACATTATATATATTTATGTACACAGTATCTCACACTGGATGCTGACCCCCAAAGCAGCATTGGTCCTGCTTCAGGCCATTCTCACAACAAAGCCCACCCCCCATCCCAGATGGAAGCTTCTGGAGTAAAGAAATGACACACCCCAACCCCTCCTGGAGAGAGCTCTGAAGTGGATTAAAATGAAAAAATCAGGTTCTTTCTTTGTGCTAACACGGCCTCAAGGAGCCTCTAGGCAGGGATGGAGCCTTAGGCAGCACCAGGGGGGTCTGAGTACTTCCAGCCCCAAGCCTGTGGGTAGAAAAGAGAAGGGGGCCTGTGTGGGGCAGGGACTACCCTACCCCTCACTCTGCTGAGTCAGGAGGGTGAGGCGCTAGTTCCAGCTTGTTCACTACTTTGGATAGGTCACTTTTCCTCCCTAGGCCTCAGTTTCCAAATGAGTAGAAAAGCAGAATGCCACATGAGATAAAATGTAGGTTGGACTAGATTCTCTCTAGGGGCCTTTCTAATTCTGAACTTCTCTCAATCTATTTGCATCTACCAGAAGTTACATAAAACACATGTACCCATACATGAATCAGTCTTTGTTCACCTCCAGGGTTCTTAGCCCTTTCCTGCTCAGGAAAAAGAAATTTGGCTCAGGATGAATGAAGAGGGGAAATAAGGCAAATAATACATTTTCCAGGGATACTGTAGCTGAGCATTTGCCATTTGTGCCAGCTTTGGCTATTGGAGCCCAAGAAGTTGGCAAAAAAGCCTCTGCCTAATTCTCCTTCAAATCTCTGTCATTTGCTTGCCCGCAAATGTCCTTGTCTTGCTTTCCATGCTAGCTTTGACCCTCTGGCAAACACATCAGCATAATTCCAAACTGTAAATCTATTTCCACATTTTCTTATCAGTCAATGGCAACACCACTTTGCCAATAACTTTGCTGCAACAGGGCTCCCCAGCTACCTGTTGCTTCCCTCAGCAATCCCCTTCCCTCTAGGGTTCCTTTTGAGGGTTCTCAATGAATAAAGGATTCTGTGGGAATCTTATTTCCCCCATAATTTCCTCCACATCTAGAGAACAGAATGGGTATCGAAATGTCCTTTAGGGACACAATTAGGAAGCCTTTTCCTTCTCCTCACACCCTTTTGGCTTTAGAACCAGTCCTCTCTCAGGTCTTCCCTCCATCCCTGAGAGATGCTGGCAGTACAAATGTCTCTGCGGTGTGGTAGAAGTGATAAGGAGTCACTTAGTAGTTGTGTGAAGTGGGCCAGCTTCTGGAACCTATCTGTAGGGTAAGGAGAGGAGGACCTTGCCCACAGCAGGGGCTCCATACACAATGATTTGTTGGTTTGTTGGATGGATGAAAGAGCATGAGGGGTAACTGTTTTGTGGGTACTAGAAGCCTGCTGGAGTCCCTGGGTGGTGCCAATGGTTTATGCGCTTGGCTGCCAACCAAAAGGTTGGTGGTTTGAGTCCGCTCAGAGGTGTCCCAGAAGAAAGGCCTGGTGATCTACTACAGAAAAATCAGTCATCGAAAACCCTATGGAGCACAGTTCTACCCTGATACACATAGGGTCACCATGAGTCAGAATCGACTTGATAGCAACTGGTTTAGAAGCCTCCTGCTTGGATGTGATGCCAAGAAGATCCTTCTGAACAAGGGCTCAAAGGCTGATGGCTGTTTCCTAAAGAAGCATCCTGCTTTTTTGCCACAGTGCCCCCGGGAAGCCAAGAGAAAAGGCACTACCATCAAGGAATAAAAATGGGCATCTCTGGGTTTCTCCATTGGACTCTTAAGGATTTTGGTTCCACATTACCACTTTTACTGGATCTCTGTAGACCCCGAAATTCAACACAATGCTATGGCGTAATGGAATAGTACTAACTTTGGATTCAGACCTGGCTGAAGCTCCAGGTTTGTGACTTAAATGGGGGAGATCTTGGTCAAATCACTTAACCTCTATGAACCTCACCTAAATAACAGGATTTGTAATATTATCTGCCCTACCTTCTTTGAAGGAATAATAAAAGAGGAGGTACTTTCCAATTTTAAGAAGAGGTTCTCATCAGTTTTCGCTACAATTGAGGACTGTGCAAGGCACTTGATAGGAATTGGGGCCATGCATATGCCTAAATAAAGGTTGCCTCATCTTGGGTTGCAAGGCCATCATTAGCAACCAGACAATGAAGGCATATCCCAACATCTCTTGCCCTGACCCCTGAAGGGCCAAGCAGTGTGGTTGTTTAGAAAGGGAAGGCAGAGCTGAGAAATAAGTACCTGTTGTTCTTGGTAGATTTTAGCTGCCTGAAGGAGCTTATCCCCCCCTCTTCAAAAGAAAACATGTTTCAGGGACAAGAGCAGCAGACTGTACAAGGCTGGTCCTCCCAGCTTCGATCTAGACCTAGAACCCAGAAGCCAGGCTGGGTCTCGGCAGAGGAACAGCCTGTAAGGACCCAGTTAGAATTAAGGCCCATTTTATGAGCGAGTGGGAAGCTTGGGATAGGGGGTAAGGTTCCTTTGGACCTGAATTTGAGCCCTACCCAATGCCTAGACATGGGCTTCTCCTGAGCCTGGATTCCAGGAGAGCAGCACTAGAATCGGTGGTGACTATGCTTTGTAGTGGCTTTCTGAAGCCAGAGTCAGTACGGCATCAGCTGCTGTCCTTTCAGATAAGGACTGAGCTAGTGACCACTTGGGTTGCAGCAAACTTGGAAAAAACAAAAACTCTTTGTCCTATCTCCCACTGCTTGTCCTTTCTAGACCAGACAGAGAGGCTCTGCCTTGCTGATGCCCAGGGCCGTCTAGGGATTGGGAGTTTTAGTAGGCTATTATGGCAGCTGCCTGTTAAGAGTTGCAAATACTAGAACTTGAAGGTTACTTCTGGAGGTCATCCCGCCTGACCCTTTTCCCCCAGACACAGCTCGACTAGGTTAATGTCTATGTTGCTTATAAATGGAAATTCCTCTCTGTGTCCAAGTAAGGTAAGGAGTATCCCTGACTCACATAAACACAGGTCCCAGGTTAGGCACCTGTCTCAGACAGAGGTAGGCTCTGTGGAGAAAGAAGACAGGAGTTCTAGTCAGGCTAGGAAGGTGGCAATTGGGAAGTGACCCTAGGGAATTTTCTGACCATACAGCACAGCTGTAAACAAAATGTAAGGCATGTGGCCTCAAGTATGGATTTGGGTTCTGATGTAGGCTTGTTTACGGCCATTCCCTGCAGTTGTTCAAAGAAAGAGCAAACCTTCTGTCTCCAAAGCCCAGAAAGCTGCCCACAATATGGCTCTCCGCCTGAGTGGGAAGAGTCATTGGACCCTCTTGGAGGCTGCAACTCAGAGCAGCAAGAATGGTTCCACTGCCGAGGATGCACCACTGGCATTTTTCTCTCTGGTCTTGGCCACAAGCACCTGCCTTTCTCCTCCCTGTCCCTCTCCTTTGGTTCCAACACTCCCCTCACTCCCTACCCCCATTCCCACTCAAGATAGGAGCCAGGGCTGCTCAAATTCTGCTTGCTATTGGTGTGCCCCTGAGGCAGCAGCCCCCCTGGGGTCAGAGTCACCCCAGAGTCTGGAGTGCACCTTTGCTTTCTCTTGCTTGCTGCCCTGGACCCTCATTTTAATGCAATGAATGATGAATCTGACAACAGGGACCTCAGGGTTGAAGAGTCAAGCCATAAATCAGCCAACAAGGAGCCAAAGAAAAAGAGTCTGCTTGATGTAAACTCTGGGGCTCCATCAACTGTCCTGTTAACTTAAGGTCATTCTGGAAAGTCAAGCAGGTCTTGTCATCCTGAAGTCACTGGGGAATAAATAGCACTGGGGCATTTCTCTCTGCAGCTGCAACACCAATATACCTCACTCCACAGCCACAGGTAGAGGCTCCGGGAGTCCAGACTTTTAAACCTGGGGCAGGGGTGGAAAAGGGGGAATCTAGGAGGCAGGGGCCTCACCCAGCCTGATGGCCCCAAAGAAGGTGGTATGCTTGCTCATATTGATCGAGATGTCGGCATGCACCATCTTCACTGCGATCTTCTGCCGGGCTTTGAGGAGGCAGACACCAGCGGTATAACAAGTGTTGTAGTTGGTCTTGCCTGTCTCGATGCTGCGCGTGCACTGAAGGAAGGGCTTCTCGTCCACCACCACCTCATAGCTGGCAAAGTCAGTGAAGTTGATGTAGTATACCTGGGTGAGAGGCAACAAGAAGGGATTGGGGGAGAGAGGAAAGAGAGGGTGGGGGCCCTCCTGTGATGAGAACAGACAGGACCTTCTCAGATGAGCTGCCAGTATACCTTGTGAAGAGGGCGGTACCACCTGAGGGTGTGCTAGTTGGCCAACGGGAAAGACAGAATGACAGGCTTATGCACTGCCCCTTCCCACTCCAAGGAGCCCAGTGGCTGAGCAAACCTTTCTTACAACAACACATCTGTTGTAAGCTATGTGAAGTCAAGAACCATATTTCCCCTTTTACCTTCCCCTCTCCCTCTTACCCTGCCCAGCCTTGGCATGAAGCACAGTGCTCTGTACATATTAGGGGTTCAATCAGTGCTACAGAAACAAATGAACACTAACTTCAAGTTTCAAGCCCCAAGTAGTATTTGTGTATAAACTTAGAAGTCACTGATTAGTGAGTTCCAGTACCAACTTGCCATTTCTGTAGCTCTTTAAGGGGAGCTCACTCAGCTTGGATTCCCTCTCCTTATCCCTCACCCCTCATGGCTAAACTGCTCTCACAGATTCTCACAATGCCCCTTGGTCCTCTTGTGTGATGGCTGAGGAAACAGATCCAGAGAGATCGGGAGCTATCCACCAAATGAGATAAAAAAATTTAGAAGGGCAAAGTCAAGGTCCCTAATTTCACTTCTTTCCCAGAAGGAAGCACTAACCTATACTCAATGGCCTGTCCTCATGGGGATTTTCCCAGACTGCATGGTGTCTAAGGCCTGAGGCTACTCCCAGTTCTCTAGACCCAGAAAATTAATTTTTCCATCCTTCACTAACCCCTATCCATCACACCCCACCTCAAGCTTTGATCCCCCCACCCCAAATGGAGCTTAGCCCATAGGACCTTCATCCCTCACCTTAAATCACTTTATGAAAGGCCACTCCCTCCACAGGCTCTTCAGAAGGGATCAGTATATTCAGGTGCCATATAATATCTTGGGTCAGGACACAAACTATGCCAGGATGCAAATGCTTGTTAGCCCACCTTCTTTGGCCACTGTCCTGTGAGACCCATCTGCTGGCTCCATAATCCTTCTATCCATCATCTACTTGCTGCCTGCCCCACAGAAGCCCCAACCTCAGGCTCATTTACCTCTAGTTCTGAGGAGCCACCCCAGTGGAGGCAAACAACTGGGGGTAGAAATGAATGAGCACTGGCAGACCTGGGGAGTGGGCCCCGGGCAGGAAAAGGACAAAAGCAGAAGGAGAAAAGGGCTGGGAGAAACAGCAGAAAGGAGGTAAGAATGGTAGAGAAACAGAAAAACAGGAAAAAAAATGGGAGAAAGAGGAAGGAAAGACAGTCAGAAATCTTTTTGAGGTGGAGAGAAAGTCTGCAGGAGCACTACACATTATAATGCCCTGGCTAGCAGTGTTGGGGGGAGGGGTTCTCAGCGGACCTGGAATTGACTTTCAAAGAATCTACTGAGACCAAGTTTGGCAGTAGAACCAAACCGCTCCTAGGGGAAACAAGGAGGCATCTACTCACAGGCCTGGGACCCTTCAGGAGGGAATAGATAGCAACGTATGGGAGGGACCTCTTTTCACAGTTTTTCAATGATATCTGACTAGGGAAAGAAATCAAAGCATCCCCTCTTTTTCCTCCTTTCAACTCCCTCCCATTGCCATCCTGCCCATCCAGCCCCCTCTGCCAAAGCAAGAAGTTAGCCATTGGCTGGCTCCACAGTGCCCCTATGTGGCCTGCACCGAATCTGCATTCTGGGCATAAGAAGAGTTAGGCCTAAGACCGTACTCACTTCTACCTGACTATAGATGAAGTAGGTGCCGTCCACCAGTACCTCCAGCTCCCCGCTGCGGGGATGTAGCTTAAACACCTTGGGGTTCATAGTGATGCGGGACCAGTCATTGAGCACTCCACCTGAAAGATCTCAGTATGAGAGAAGGGCAATCACTCAGTACATGTCATAATGATCTGGGCAGCAGAAATAAGAAATAGCAAACAGTACACAACTCCCACTTTATCCCACTGCAACTTGGACAGCCAAGAAGGCCAAGCTTTCAAGAACAGCATTTGGAAGCAGGGAAAGTGTTTCTTTTGTAAAGCAGCTGCCAGGCCTGCCTCAGGCCCCCTGGGGTCTACTTGTGAGTCTTCCTCTCCTTTCCTGACCTTTCCATCTGGAAGGGTCTTTACCCAACACTTTCTAGCTGGAATTTCTTTTTTGGAGGGGGTGGGTGTAAGAGGAGAGTAAGTGAGCCCTGGTGGCGCAGTGGCTAAAGCGCTTGGCTGCTAACTAAAAGGTCTGTGGTTCGAACCCACCACCTGCTCCTTGGGAGAGACAATGTGACAATCTGCTTCCATAAAGACTTACAGCCTCGGTTTTAGTTTAAGAGGTGAGTGGGCATGCTACCCTATCTGCTATGTTGTTCTGGGGCCTGCACAGGCAAAATTCCGACACTGAGTGGCAGGCTGGGTATTATTATTCAATTTTACTCTCCCAGCTGTAGCTCCTGAATCTCTCTCATGTCTCATAGGTTCATGGGTTTTCTCCTTTCCGCTAGAGAGATTCCTTTTCATGGTTTCTCCACACCCACTTCTTTCTGGAAAGCCTTCCCGGGCCCCCAGTAAAACCACTCAGCACAACAAACTGTCTATCTGAAGAACCTTAGCGTTCAGGGACAATTTGGACTCTGTGACAGCCCAGAATGAGTGTCCACCAGGAACAAGGCACCATAGGTGAGAGGGATCTTTATGAGAGTGGGGGATAAACTGCCAGCCACCTAGAACCATCCAGGCAGATAGGCGAGGGTGTCTGGGAGCTGAGGCACCCTTGGCAAAGCATTTGTCTCTTATACCCACCCCAGTTAAGGGTGGAGGGGCTCACACTGCCTTGGCTGGACAGTGGAAGCCATCATGCACAAGGTGGGGGTGGGGGACTTCCTTTTCTAACCTGCAGGAAGAGGGATGTTCCTTCCCACCATGAGAGGAGAGAGTCTAAGCCATGGGACCTTTTCCCCCCTAAACCATGCAGTCTTCACCCAAGAAACTATGTTTTGAATGTCCATGCTTGGCCAGCCTCAGGAAGCCTGTCTCTCTGAGGTGTGAGGAAACAGGCCTTCTGGAAAAGCTGGCCATCTTTCCTAGAGGTGATACACAGATGGGATAGGAGTTAGGAGGGGATGTGCTGGATCTCCCACTTCTATGGACTGCCTTGTGTGACATCCTCCCACCCAACTCCCTCACTTTTGCTCCTGGTGGAACTAAAGGCCAGCCCAGGCTACTCATAGGGATTGACCCAGAGTGGTTGGCACAGAATAAATGCTGAGGCCGTCATCCAGACACGAAAACAAGCCTATGTCCTGTCTGTCTCAGCCCACCCTGGACAGATGGTGATCACGGGTCCTGTCTCAGTCTACCCTGGACAGATGGTGATCATGGCCCACCCAGTGCCCTGGGACCCATGGCACCTGGTCCCAGCAGAACTGCTTGGGTTTTGGTGCCATTCTGTTCCTATTTACATTTCTGAAGCTATTAGTCAGACATCCCAGTGTTAGTCGGGGGAGTAGCTAAGCCCAATCAACAGGGAAGCTCAGGACAGTCAGTTCAGCACTGACTGGGTTCTTAGAAGCTAGCCCCACATAGCAGGTTTCTTAACCTTCATTTACTGTTTCCACACTCATAGTCCCTTCTTTCAATTCCAAGCTGTGTAAGCATCTGGCATCTTGGTTAGATTGTTGCTTCCCAAGGCTCCTGGGGGTTCATGGATTTTAGGTTTTGTCTCTCCTAGGGACTGGACATTATTTCAAAGTTCTGTTCTTTAATGAATGTTCAAGTCCCTTTGGGGAAGAAAACAAACCTACTCATTCAGTGGAGTGTATATACATATCACTGAAGTGGCACAGCGTAGTGGGAAAAGTCAGACAGCAATACTTTTCAATCCCAGCTTAAAAAACTATGAAATCTTGGGCAAGTTAACTTCTCTGAGCTTCAGTTTCTGTCTCTGTAAAAAGGAGGTAATACCTACCTCATGGGGTTGTTGTGAGGACCGAATGAAATACAAGACAAAGAAAGCATGTTGAAAACTCTGAAGTACCATTCAAATATAAGGCAGTATGGTTTATTACAGTATTATCCAATCTCTCTGGGACTCTGTTTCTCCATCTTATAAATGCAGGGATTACATTAAATCAGTGTTTCTAAACTTTATTAAACTCGTTCCCCCTTTTGACAGACACTAGCATCTCATAATCCCTGGAGGTTCTACAATGCTCCCAATCCCAGAGAGATGCCCCCCAGCCCTGTCATTTTCTATATAGACCCATCAGACAAGAAGAATTTAAATTTATGTAGCTTTACCTTCTCTAATTTGGATTGTATAAATGTTTATCAAACTACAAATATCCCATGGTGACTCTAATATAACCTCCAAGCCCCCAAATTCCCCAGGCTAGATGCTGTCTCAAGTTCCTTTCAGCTCCATCATCAGTGATTCTAAATGCAATTTGGGTGTTGGTCTTGGTGCAAGCAATTACTCAGGACAGCCAGCAGAGGGGAGGGTGGAGTAGTGAATGGCCCCCTATGCCAAGGGTACCTCAGGGGCTTGGGAGGAACTAGGCTGGATGATTATTTGGAGGCTGGGGATGAGGGAAGGGAGAAGTTTTTCTTAGGGAGAGAGCCTACTTTGACTCTTACCATTCTTGACTTGAATTGCTGACCCTTGGCCCTGTAGATGCACCACAGCTGGCTGGGAGGATGAGAAGGATAGAGAGGATAGTAGTCACTGTGAATAATGGGTACTTGCTTAGCCACAGGTTCTCAGGTTTCCACCTCTGGTTTCTCGTCTCCTTTTGTATCCAAATTCTGATCCCTCTTCCCTGCCTTGGGATGCTAGTGAACATATTTCTACTACAGGGTCATATGATTTTGTAGCTCTGCCATTTCCTAGCTACGTAGCCCCAGCCAAATGTAATGCCTCCGAGCCTTATTTCCTCAATTGTAAAATGGGGATTATAGGACTCTCTGTCTGGCCTCCTTCACAGGGATGTTTGAAGATCAAATGAGGTGATGGATATACAATTCCCTGCAAACCAGCAAGCACTGTGCAGCTGTGTAGATTTCTCAGCGTGGCCAAACAGCTGTAGTGAGGGAGGCTGAGATGAGACAAGGCAAGGCAGCAGAACCTGCCAACAGAGACAAATGAGGAAGCTCAAAGACTAGGGAGGAGCCCTCCAGGCTATTAAGGCAGAAAGAAGCCCAGGCTGGGCTTGGCCGGGAGCTGGTTGGCTGTTTTTCAAGGACATCTCTTAAGCTTCTAAGCTCCTGATTCCAGGCAGTCTGAGTGCTGAAAAGGTGTCTGGGGTGGCTGGGGAGTCGGAGGCCTAGGTGAATAGGCCTGTCTGGCAGCTCCTTTCAGCTGCCTACTGAGCTTAGATATCATGACTCTCGGTCTCCTAAGGAGGGAAGAAAATGGCCTTGGCAAGACTTGGTTCCCTTAGCTGAAGGCAGGCCCTGGGGCAAAGCTTTTCTAGTCCTACAGATGGGAGGAGACTGTGAGTGAAAAACCTGAGAACTTCCAGGGTGTTCTTACAAAATAAAGCCTCAGCATATTTAATAGGGAGCAAACTCAAAGGTGGCTCTAGCCTATGGCCTTCCTTCTTCCCCAGGAAGAAAGCAATCCCCAGCCAACCTGGTTTTCTCGAGTTCCAGCTTTATCAGCAGCACCTGAAAAATAGGACAGGCTAGTCAGAGGACATGCTCTTTCTACTTCCCTTTCTCTCCACCTAGGCAAGCAGTGGCAGTGAAACTTGCCCTCTGCAGCCAGCCCTGTCGAGCTTACTCTCCAGTTAAGAGAGTACCTGAGGAGAGACAGAACAACGCAGGGGCCTGGGATGGGAGAAGATGCCCCTTCCTTTTCTTTCCTGTCCCTGACCTGCATTTTCAGTGGATCCAGCACCCAGTGGGGAAACTGGCCTTTTGCCAATGCTGTCCCAAGGCAAGCCCCACTGGGCATACGTGGAGATAGATGAGAAGGCATTCCTGCCACTGTACACCCCTGAGACAATGCTTTTTGCTTCTCTATCATCCTGCTTTAGCCTTTTGCTCCCTTTCGATTTATTTTCTTCATAGAGCCCATTACCATTTGTAATTATCTTGTTTCTATAGTTCTTTTCTCCTCTAGGACATAAACTCCATGAGAACAGGGACCATTAACAATATATCTCCTGCACATAGAAAGTACTCAATTAATTTTTGAAATGGGAATGATTAGATGAAAAAATCCCTGACTCCACCTCTTACGCCAATGGCCATGGTGATACTGATTAGCCCTGTGTTTGAACTATGATTCAAAGAAGCTGAGTTCTGAGCAGAATTCTTGGACCTAGAGAAATCAGTTGTAAACAGTCCATTTCTTTAAAGCCCAACGATAGAGGAGGGCAGTAGGGGAAAGAAATAACAACTGACATAAGCCCAGGCAGTTCAGCTCCAGTCAACTCCAATTAGGCAGGTGTGGATCTGCATTCATACCTTTTGGATGCACTTCTAGACTCAAGGGGAAAGGTGTGAAGGGATTAAATTTTATTTGAATCGGCAGTGGGGTGGGGGTAAGGATCTAGGGCAAGAAGCACTTTGTTCCTAGACAGAACAGTCTTGGTGCCTAGGTTTGCTTCATGCACATCCTGAGTGAGTCATAAGTTTCCAACTCCTTTCAACTCAGTAACTCCTTATCTACCTCTATGGGAAAGGTACATCAGAGTTCATGGGATGAAACTGTTCTAGGGCTTGTCACTTTGTCCAATCCCCAACTTTCCTCCCCACAGCCTATTTCTATGCAAACATCAGCCTATGGAGCTAGATGCTGGGAATCAGAGCAGACCAAATCCATCCTCCACAGGAACTCTAGTGAACTCTCAGAGCCTCTGTGTCTGGCTCATATGAGCTTACTGGCATGTATGCCTAAAACAGGGAAGTCTAAAGTCAGGGAAGGGTTGTGATGGAAGTGTTGAGATGGGGCAAGGACAGGTGGCCTGTTCTTGACAGGTTGGTACAAATAAGAAGTTAGAGCAGGCCAGGACATACTAGTTTGTTTAATTTCTAGCTCTATACTGGACTAGGAAATCTGCACACCAACCCCATCACCACCATTTGAAATTGCCCTGGTGGCAAAGCGGCTAAGAGCTTGGCTGCTAACCAAAAGGTCGGCAGTTCGAATCCACCAGCTGTTCCTTGGAAATCCTGTGGGGCAGTTCTACTCTGTCCTATAGGTTTGCTAAACGGTAGTGGGTATCAGGATCATACACGACTGCTCTACTAAAGTACTTGTAAGGAGCCTAGGGGAGTGGAGAGACAGAGGAACTCACCAGAAGGTCCCTGGAGGCCAGGAGGTCCTTGAGGACCAGGAGGACCTGGAGGACCAGGTGGTCCCATAACAGTTGTTCCTGGAATTCCAGGAATCCCTGGAATCCCTGGGGGTCCCTGGGGTCCTGGAGGTCCTGGAGGTCCTGGGGGGCCATTGGGCCCAGGAGGTCCTGCCTTCTTTCCTGAAAAGCAAGATTCAGGGTTATATTTGTAGTTATTTACTGTTAGGAGTATACTGGCAGGAGTTCTACAGGCTCCCAGTGACACAAAGTCTGCCCTCTGTGAGTTCCTGCTGTTAAAGACCTGGACACCTTTATCATGCTTGATACACACACATACACACTTACACTCTCCCTATCTTCTTTCATTCAATAAGCATTTACTGAGCTAGGTTTTAGGATATAAAAATAAATAGCCCTCAAGGAGACCTCAAGGGGCTCACAGTCTAGTGAGGAAACAGACACAGTCGCAGTATAGTAGAAGTGCTGCACTAGCAGTAAGGACAAAATGCTGAAGAGGTCAGAGAAGCCTTCAAAAAGGAGATTATATTTCAGCTGAGTCCAAAGGATGAGAACTACTGAGTGGCCAGACTTGGGTCACTTTGTGGTTTTTTAGAATTGGGCTATTATTGAAGAGAGTGGCTTTCCTGTTTACTGTCCAGTTTGGTAGACTTGATGTGGATAACGAGAGGAAGCTACAAGGGTAGCTTGACCTTAGGAACAACTTGCCTGCAGGCTCTGTTTTGCTCTCCCCATCAGCTCCAGGAAGGTTTTCTACAGGAGTCAGGATGCATAGGAAGTGGGGGTTGGGATGGGGGCTATGCTAGTTGGGAATGAGGAATGGGAAGGAGTTTGGGAAAGAAGCGGTGTTCAGAGACAGAAAAAGAGAGGGAGAGAGGGAGACAGAGACAGGGAGAGAGAGAGGGAGAGTGAGAGACAGAGACAGAGAGGGAGAGGGAGAGAGAGAGAGACACAGACAGAGAGGGAGAGAGAAAGGGAGAGAGAGGCAGAGACAGAGAGAGACAGAGACAGAGAGGGAGAGAGAAAGGGAGAGGGGGAGAGAGAGAGACAGAGACAGAGGGAGAGAGAGGGAGAGAGAGAGAACAGGAAGAAGGGGAGGCAAAGAGTAGAGAGTTGAGGAGCTGAGGAGGAGGCAGCAGGGTTAGTTTCATCAGCTGACCTCTCTATAAACCCTATTTTTAAAGACCTCTGGGAAAGGAAATTCTGCAAACTTCCTTGGTAACATGTTCCAATGTTTATCACCCCTCACTGTTAGGAAGTGCTTCCATATATTTAACTGAAATCCATTCCTGTGTCAGTTTAGGCTCTTATTTTATTCTTTGTGGAGATAAAGAAGTATAGTTACCATCATACATACAATAACCCTCATATGCTCAAAGTCACCTACCAACCTGCTTTTTTATAGGTTAAATAATCCAGCTTCCCAGAATCGTTCCTCAGAGGCTGTCATGGATTGAATTGTGTCTCCCCAAAAATGTGTGTAGCAATTTGGCTAGGTCATGATTCCTAGTATTGTATGGTTGTGTTATCTGATGTGATTTCCTTATGTGTTGTAAACTCTACCACTATGATGACATTATACCGATGAGGTATACATGATTGGATAGTGCCTTAATGCAATCTCTTTTGAGATATAAAAGAGAGAACTGAGCAGAGACACATAGGAACCTCGTACCATCAAGAAAGCAGTGCTGGGAGCTGAGTGTGTCCTTTGGACCTGAGGTTCCTGCGCAGAGAAGCTCCCAGACCAAGGGAAGACTGATGACATGGACCTTCCTCCAGAGCCAATGGTGAAAGCATTCCCTGGAGCTGAAGCCCTGACTTGGACTTGTAGCCTACTGGACTGTGAGAGAATAAACTTCTCTTTGCTAAATCCATCCACTTGTGGTATTCCTGTTAGAGCAGCACCAGATGACTGAGACAGAGGCCCTATTCTCAAATGCATTATTAATCAAGCACCAATTCCTCCCCCTTTCCTCCTCGCTATCCTTCCAGAACAGTCTCAGCCCTTAGTATATTCCAGCCCCTCCAACATTTCTACTAGAATTTAGTTATGTTTAATTGAGTCATAACTGTGGTCTCAAACAAAAACCTCCAGCTCCTCCTGTTTACTTACTCTACTCTGTGCAGCCCCACTCAAGCACTGCAGGTGGTCATAGGTGGGTATCTTCTTTCTCCCCTCACCATGTCCTTACAATTTTGTGGAAGTACCAGGAATGGAAGCCTTTTACCAGATTCCATCACAGTGTCTTCATCTGTGGTACTTTCTTAGTTTTAAATACAACCCTCTCAAGTCTCCCTTAAAAATCTTCTTACTGACTCAGATTCTCTGCTCCCCAGATGCTTTGGTAGGAGAATCCTGTCCTGATTTATCACGTCCTCCTTTAGTAATAATGCCTTATGTTCAAGAAACCAAATTCTCATGGAAACACCACTCAAGAAGCCAATTGTCCATGTCTGACTACATATGCACTTGGAATGAAACAACTGGGTCATTGTCGGGCCCCTTCCTCAGTGAGGAAAGAAAGGAAAGTCCAGAGTCCAGAGAGCCCGTCTCCCAGGAAGATTCCCTCCCTGTAGGCTTAAAGACCTAGGGGCATGAGGTTTAGAGTCCTCCCTGCAATTAGCAGCAGAAGATTGGATCTGCCCGGTTTCTAGATCTTGCTTATTTCAAGATGCTGAACAGGAAAATCATCTCCCTTCAGATTTGGGCAGCTTCCAAATCAGGCTTATTCAGTGCCCAAGTTTCAATTACAGCTAGTGTAGTGGAAAGAACATGGAATCTGTAGTCAAGAGATAAGGACGTAAGCCCCAGCTCTGTGACAAATGCACTTTGGGCAAACCCCTTCCTCTCTGAGCCTTAGTTTCTCCATCTGTGAAATGAGGAGCTAGGCCTCAATAATCTCTCTAAGTTTCCGTTCAAGATTTAGGTTCCATAAAGAGGACTGACTTACCCCCAGCAATCAGGAAACTTACCTAGCCTGGTTGTAAGATTTGCTTTTCCCTAATATTTTCTGGGTCGGGTAGACACAGAGGATGACGCATATTAGGCTGCCCTGTGTCTCAGCATTTCCAGGCTTAACAGTGATTTTCGAGCTAAAGGATGTTCTGTGGGTAGCATAACTTCAGCTTCAAGAATGTGAGCCTCCTGTGTTTGCTAATGTAATTTTGGAAGAATTACAGCCAAAAACTCCTCTAGTCAAAGAGAATAATGGTTGCAGTGTAAACAGAGAATGTTCACTTATGAAAATGTTAGAAGGCATTTGCGAAAAAGCTCCTGCTATGATCCAGTTCTGCAGTTGGTCCTCTATGCTCCTCAGCAACCAGGTTTAGGCAACCGCACTTCTCATACTTGCATACTTACCAAAACTTGGGCCCAGAGAGGAGCATGTACCAAATGACCCCTGGACCAAGAGGATGACTTTAGAGGACTGAATTCCTTCTCCAGATTTCTTTTTTTAACAGAGAACTTCATGATGCAAAAGCCCAGAGACTTTTGTACTATATAATCTTACATGAAAGAATATACACATTCCTTTCAAAGCTAAACTTTATGAAAGGGGCATTTCCCTAACCTTTTAGCTAAGCCCACATTGCTGAAAAATTAAGCAAAAGCGAATGAGTACAAGTGAGAGAGAGAGAGAGTTTTGGGAGGGGAAAATTCCATTAGAGGGTGAAAATTAAGTGAAAAACTCAATTTACCCTTCAGGCATGTGCCTATTCACTATGTCCAAAGAAATTTGTATTAAATGGTTTCTAAATCACTTTTAGCCATAGTAAATGTCTAAGGCCTATGTGCATTCTTCTCCCAGTAATGGCCCGTACACAAGGTGGCAGTGCCGGGCAGTGATCTGAGTCCCTGGCAGAGGCATTGGAATCTGACCTGTAACTTCAGAGCTGCTTCCACCCTAGATAATTGCCTTACATTGCATTAGCAACTGTGTTCTCTCAGTGCTCACCCACTGGATAACACTGCAACTGGGTGCTGCTTCCTACCACACACGTGCCCTATATTCTGGTAAATCTACTTGCTGTTCCCCCAAACATGCCATGTTCTTTCATGCCTCTGAGAGAGTTGAGAACGCTGTTCTCTTTGCTGGAGTGTCCTCTCTTCTCTTTTTTCCTCATCCTTCAAAGTCTAGGTCAAATGTAGCTTTCACTTCCCCAGGGAGAACTACTTGCTCCTTCTCTGTGCTCCCACAGCACCCTGAACATGCTCCTATGATAGCATTTTAAAAATATACTATACTGTAATTATTTGTGTGTACTTTCATGATTCCAACTATGCTGGGAGAATTTTTTTTTATTGTACTTTAGATGAAGGTTTACAGAACAAATAGTTTCTCATTAAACAGTTAGTACACATATTGTTTTATGACAATGGTTAACAACCCCACAATATGTCAACACTGTCCCTTCTCAACCTTGGGTTCCCTATTACCAGTTTTCCTGTCCCCTCCTGCCTTCTGCTCCTTGTCCCTGGACTGTTGTGCCCCATTAGTCTTGTTTTGTTTTATGGGGCTCTCTAATCTTTGGCTGGATGACGAACCTTGGGAGTGACTACATTACTGAGCTAAAAGGGTGTCCGGGGACCATACTCTCAGGTTTCTCCAGTCTCTGTCAAGCCAGAAAGTCTGGTCTTTTTTGTGAGTTAGAATTTTGTTCTACATTTTTCTCCAGCTCTGTCCAGGACCCTTTGTTGTGATCCCGGTCAGAGCAGTCAGCGGTGGTAGCTGGGCACCATCTAGTTGTACTGGACTCAGTCTGGTGGAGGCCGTGGTAGCTGTGGTGAATTAGTCCTCTGGACTAATCTTTTCCTTGTATCCTGTTCTCTTCATTCTCCCTTGCTGCCGAAGGGGTGAGACCAGTGAGTGGAGTATCTTAGATGGCTGCTCACAGGCTTTTAAGACCTCAAATGCTACTCACCAAGGTTATGCTGGGAGAATTTTGAGGGCAGGGACCATTTTCCTTCATTTTTGTACCTCTAAATACCTGACAAATATAAGATGCTTATTCACTGTCTGGTGAATGAATGAGTAGAACAAAAGAGTAGCTGTAATTAGAAAGTACTTTTAACTTATCCATTAAGAGGGAAGTCATCCTTGGGCTTATGTTAGGGGCAGAAGGTATCCTTGCCCAAGCCAAGTGAGCTTTCGAAGCTTGCTATAATTTCTGTCTTAATGGGACGAGACAAGAGTTAAAAACTACATGCTTGAAAATCAAATTCACTTTCTTAAAATACAGACTATCTTGGTGGTCAATGCCCAGGCCCCATGGAGAAAGGTTTCCTCACTCCAGCTCTGTGACTGTTTTCCAACATTGCTCAGCTTAGGCTCTCAGGAGGCCAGGCCATTCCTCAGATTCTTTGCAACAGGGACATAGGTATTCCACGTGGACCATGGCACCTCAAATCCCTAGAGTACCCTAGTGCTCAGACAAGTGGTGGGCTGCAGCTGAAGCCAGTCTCTTTAGTCTGGGTTGATAATATACTTTATAAAGCTTCAGAAATCTTAATAAAATCATTTCACTTAAAGCATTTTAATGAAAAATCATTTATTTCACTTTATCTTCCTCTCAGGTCAGAACCCAGAAACAAGTAGGTGTTTAAACTGGTTTCATAGCTTGTTCTTTTAGTCCTAAGAAGTGGACTATATTATCCAATCCTAATCTTGGAATTTGTTCGGTCTTTGGATCCTCTTCTTCAAGTAAGCAAGCACTTGTAGAAGCACTTGGGTCAGTCCCACTGCAAGAACACTGGGGACTTACTAACCCAACAATGGCACAATGGAACCATCTAGCTAAAATCTCCTTCTTTGAAGACTGAAAGATAACGATAATACTCCAGTCTAGTTTTTTTTCATCACAGAGAAAATGATATTGAAACCCCAAGGCAAGAAATATCTTCCCTGGCCATTAGGGAAATAGAGTAAGGAGAGCTTGCTAGGCCAAGAAATAGGGCACTGTGCTCTCTCAGTAGGTAGTAAACATAGTTTCTACAAGCTATCTGAGGATTCCATTTATACTTGATCACTGATTTGATGAAGTAGGGGAAAAAAGGAAAAAAGAGAAGGGATGGGAAAAGAGTAAGGACAAATAAAAGAGATGTATATTGAATTGAATGGAGGAGTGAACAAGGAAAAAGCAAAAACAAAAAGCAACTTTTATATATTGTTAGAGAAGCAATTCTATTTTTCATGGGCCATAACTGAAAAACAATTTCTATTTTATCTTTGTTCTTTGGAAGCTACAATACTCAAGAAGATCACATGTGATTGAATAAAATAATGGACAACCAATGCTGAAAGAATATAATACAAAAACCCTACTCCCTTGATATTTTCTTCTAATTTTAGAAAAGACATGGCAGGGAACATCTATAGCGATTATATAAAATCAGGAGCTTAACTTACCCTTTTTCTTGTTTTTAACTGGACCTATCAAAAAAAAAAAAAAAGAAAGAAAATTAAGTCACTGGAAATTCACAGAAAATCTTTACTTTTCAACACAGTCAGTAGGAGGGAGCCTCAAGACATTGTAAATTTGAGGAAGCCCCACAGCCAAGGGTCAGGCTTTTCGCAAGGTATCTCCCAACTATCAAACCTTCCCAGTCTGTTTTCTAACTGTTGAGGCCAAGAAAGTTACAGGGACAATTCTTCCCTGGGGAGAAAAATCTTTCAGCCTCAGTCTTCGGAGTGAGGGAGAGGGTACTTCTCCACAGAGATGAAATGCCCCCAAACGCAGAACTCAACAACCTTAGGACGGCATTCCATTAATTCTGCGAGTCCTGAGATTGAAGAGTCATGCATCCAGGTGAGGAACTGATATAAAGTCTTGTGTGTTTGAAGCTGGAAGGAAAGAGGGATTATTTTCATGGAAGGAGCAGAGCAGGGACAGTTTACTTTTTAGTCACTTCCTTATCATGATTTAATTTGTTGTTAAAACAGTGCAACCACAATACATTTATGTGGAGGCCACATGCACTCCCATTGTAATTTAGCATAAGTTAATGGACACTTAAAAAGAAGTGTCAACAGTTCCATCAACAGTGAGAACACAAGCATTTTGTTGAGAATTACTTCTAAAGAAAACAATTCGTATCGGTTGAGGATGCTCAGAAAACCCAAAGCTTTTCTACTATAGTTAGGTGACAATCACTCCCCAAATATACACAGTTTAGGTCTCTCCAAGACAGTAATCTCCCCCGCCCCCAAAGGGACTCAAGTCTCTCTTTTGTATATGGATTTGACTTTCTTTAGATACAGGTATTTAAAATCTGTTCCAAACCGGCATGAAGATGCTATTGTACAACATTAGACCACTGTCACTGTCCTCAGGAGCTTACAAAAAGAACATAAACCATTTGTATTTTATTTTACAGTTTATAGAACATATTTAAATCTATTATCTCATTTGACTCTTGCAGCAAGCCTGGAATGTCTTTACCTATAAGAGCAGACTCTATCAGAGGTCTGTAAAGTTTCTAACCTGAAAGGCACCATTGTGGCCATCAGAGCTTGTACAGGCCCCTGGAAAAACCAATGTCTGTGCAGAATTCCCTAGTAAAGTGATTTCATGTGCAACAGGAGGTATTATCACATGCAGGGAATGTTTTAGGTTGGGTTTAGCAACCTGCTGCACTTAACGTCATGAGTCCTCATTCTCTTATCCTCTTTTTTTTCCCTTTCCTCTTCTCCCAGTCCTTTGTCTTCCTCTTTTTTTTTTTTTTGCTGCCTATCCTTTATTTTGATTAACACACTGAGAGTTCTTGAGAACGTGCATGGAGGTTCTGGCAGGGAAGTATAGCTACACAGATATTACTAACAGGCAGCCACTTACCCTGAGAGGGGCCTCCTCTTGAACATGAAAGCTATTTGGGAAAGGATTTACACAGAAAAAGCCCAGCCCCAATAGCCAGCTACCAGCGAGTCAGCCATTCAGCCAGCTCAGCCTGAGGGAGAAGTGGGATGACAACTGTTACAGCCACACTGCTCTCTCAGCCAAATTGTGCTAGCCCTGGCCAAGTTTCTGACCATGTCAGCTGGTTAAGAGGGTTAGCACTGTTACATCAGTCTTCAAAGCAGGCTTTGAGGAAATTAGACAATTATCAGCCAATCAGTCCTTACTGAGCATGCCTAAGGAAGGTAACACAGTAAACAATGAAACACAACTCTATCCTCAAAGAACTTAGAATGGGATAAGAAAACACCAAAGTGGACTTCAGAAATTATCCTGGCTAGTTCAGGAAAACAACAACGACAAGAAAAAAAAAACCTTTATTATTTTTATACCAGAAATACCTACTCATTACACAACCATACATGCTTACATATATGTACAAAAATAAATGAAAAAGAGGAGCAACAAGGAAAAAAAACTTAATAAACTACCCACAAATAAACACTATTAATATTTTTATGCATACCTAGAAATTTTCTATGCCTATAAATAAGTATTTTTACAAAATGGGATCAAATTAAGGGTATTGTTTGATAACTTCTTTCTATATCAATAACTACATTTATACATTATTATTTTTAATATGGATATGTTGTTGTTAGCTGCCGTCAAGTCAATTCTGACTCATGGCGACCCCTTATGTCTCAGAGTAGAACTGCTTCATAGTGTTTTCAAGGCTGTGACCTTTTGGAAGCAGACCTCCAGGCCTGTCTTCTGAGGTGCCAATGGGTGTGTTGGACAGCGAACCTTTTGGCTAGTAGTTGGGCACTTAATCGTTTGTGCCACCGAGGGACTCCTAGTATTTAATTAATCATTTTTGATGGACATTTAGGTTATTTCCAATTTTCCACTATTATAAACAATGCTATAGTTAATGTTTTTACATATATACATCTTTATACACTTGTCCAAAGATTTTTTACAATGAGTTATTAGAAATGGTATTGCTTGGTCAATGGATGTGAAAGGCTTTTCTTATATGTGGTTTAACATAACAATCTTTTCCTTTATAGTCACTGTCTTCAGTGTCATGCTTAGTTGGGCCTTCGCTAATGTAATATTTTTAATATTCTTATTTATTATTCAAAAGGTAGAATCATTCCATATTAGTTCCTAGATAACTTCCTTATTCTTTTTTTATAGCTGCATAATACTCATTGGGGAATATTCCATAGTTTATTCATTCATGGGCATTTAGGTTACTTCCAATATTTTGCTGTTACAAATAATACCATAATGAATAGCTTTGCCCACATATTGTTTAACATTTATAGAGGAGAATCTCCTGGGTAAATTCCTAGAAATGGGAGTTTGCTGGGGGAAGAGTTAATGCATATGTGATTCTGTTATGCTTTAGATGTCGCAATACTTCACTCCATAGGGTTATACCATTTTGCACTCTCACCAGTAATGTATGGCAGAGCTTGTTCCCCCAGCCTTGCTGGTAAAGTATGCTTTTTAAATTTTGCCAATCTGATGGGGGAGAAATGGTATCTTGGTGTAGTTTAAAATGCATTTTTTTAAGTATAGAACTTGCTGAGATGTATTATCATTTTATATATTGTTGCTGGATTTACTTTTCTATTTTTAAGGAAGATTTTTGCCTCTATAGTAATGAGAAATATTGGCCTTCGTTTTCCCCTAATGTAATAGCATATAAGCATATTTTCCTAGTTCTTTAATGGTTTCATTTTTTAATATTTAAATCTGTATAATTCATCTGATACAGATTTTGGTATACAGTGTGAGATAGGGAGCTAACTAAATTTTTTTTTTCCCAAAATGGCCATTCCATGAAAAGTGCTGAGAGCAACAGGGGTTCAAATTCCTTTCTTCCACTCCATCTTGTATCATAGAAGGTTCTTGAAGAGTTTCTACTTAGTGCACATTTGGCATATCCCTTGGGTAAAAACAAGGGTGAAAAAGTATACACAAGTATGTCATTATATTGTAGCAAGACATTTCCCACAAGTGGTAATGAGTACATTGTCTTAGCAGTATAAGAGTTACTTACTGTTCTAACATAGCTCATAATTGCCAGTTAATAATTCTCATGAGCTTCAACATGGACTTCTAAGCCCATATCCACCATGTCCATTACTTTCACTTGAGGCTTCCCATTGTAGCTTTTCAGCTTCTGCAGAGAAAATATCAGGGAACTAGAGCTATCCCATGCTAGAAGTGAGCATTCTGACCCAGAGCAAAAGCAGTTACCTCTGTTGAGTTCTGGAACCTTTTAGATATAGTCATTTATTTTCTCTATATGCTTCAGAACCTTATTCATACCTACTGAGAGCACTACCACTGTCACATGTCTGTTTCTATGGTAACGAGCTATATTTCTATATCATTTCAATTTCCTCTATTTGTGACCATCATTTGTAACCATGATTTCTGCAGGCAAAAATCATAAATGCATCAGAGTGGGACAAAAAGCTGTGCAGTCCCTGGGATTGCTTTGATAGGAGTAAAATCGAGATCTGACATGTTTTGATCAATGTGGGCAGGCAATTTGCCTATGTAAGATTAAGAAAACAGTGTCTTCTACGAGAATCAGGGCCATGGAGGTTAGCCAGGCATAGCCAGATTCTAGTCCTGACTCAACCACAAGCTCACCATAGGGCAACTAACCCTCTCTTTCTAAGTCTTCATCTGCTAAATGGGAACACTATATACTTTGTCTCTATTTAAGGCTTAAGATCATGATGAAGGTCAATGACATCATAATTAAAGCTAACATTTATTGAATATATATGTACGATGCACTAACACAGTGCATAAAAACCCGTTGCCGTTGAATAGATTCTGACTATAGGGTCGCTATGAGTCGGAATCGACTCGATGGCAATGGGTTTTTATGCACTGTGCTAGTTGCTTTACATATCTCATTTAGACCTTAAAACAATCCAGCTAAGTAAGTATCAGTATGCTTATGTTACAGATGAGGAGGCAGATTAAATAAATTGCCCAAGGTCACACAGCCAGTCGGTATTTTAAGGTAAGCTGAAACTTCAGAAAAGTTAATGTTATTCTAGATGTGTTTTAAAAACTTGAAAATAAATTTATAAACCATCCGCTAGTTTAAAAGCAACAATAAACTTCATGTATCACCCCCTGCACCCTCTTCTGCACATCTCTTGCCTCTGTACCTTTCTTTATGCCATTCCCTTTACCTGCTATGCTCTTCTCCAGGCCCTCCTCTCAAAGCCTTTAAGACTCAGCCAGGTGTCAATTCTTCTCTGTTCCTATAATATGCTGTTGCACTTATCAAGTTGAAATTTTCCCATTATGCGACTGTCTCACTAGATTGTTAACTAATTGAGGGCAGGGTCTGTGTCTTATTCATCTCTGTGTCTCCAACACCTAAAATATTTCTTTTATAGTAGGTGCTCAATAAAGTATTTGTTGAATGAATAAATGAATGAAGGAAATGGTAGAGCTGGGATGTGAACCAACATTAACTATACCTTCCACTGAA